CAGTATTACCAACCTACCACAACTACAACCATCAGCAAACATCTTTAGTTGAATCAACAAACTTCGTATGTATCAACGTCTTCAGTTGTGTCAGCAACTATCTTGGGAGACCAGGTGCACATCCCAGCGCTGCCACAACTATCTTGGGAGACCAGGTGCACATCCCAGCGCTGCCACAACTATCTTGGGAGACCAGGTGCACATCCCAGCGCTGCCACAACTATCTTGGGAGACCAGGTGCACATCCCAGCGCTGCCACAACTATCTTGGGAGACCAGATGCACATCCCAGCGCTGCCACAACTATCTTGGGAGACCTGGTGCACATCCCAGCGCTGCCACAACTATCTTGGGAGACCAGGTGCACATCCCAGCGCTGCCACAACTATCTTGGGAGACCAGGTGCACATCCCAGCGCTGCCACAACTATCTTGGGAGACCAGGTGCACATCCCAGCGCTGCCACAACTATCTTGGGAGACCTGGTGCACATCCCAGCGCTGCCACAACTATCTTGGGAGACCTGGTGCACATCCCAGCGCTGCCACAACTATCTTGGGAGACCAGGTGCACATCCCAGCGCTGCCACAACTATCTTGGGAGACCAGGTGCACATCCCAGCGCTGCCACAACTATCTTGGGAGACCAGGTGCACATCCCAGCGGTGCCACAACTATCTTGGGAGACCTGGTGCACATCCCAGCGCTGCCACAACTATCTTGGGAGACCTGGTGCACATCCCAGCGCTGCCACAACTATCTTGGGAGACCAGGTGCACATCCCAGCGGTGCCACAACTATCTTGGGAGACCTGGTGCACATCCCAGCGCTGCCACAACTATCTTGGGAGACCTGGTGCACATCCCAGCGCTGCCACAACTATCTTGGGAGACCAGGTGCACATCCCAGCGCTGCCACAACTATCTTGGGAGACCTGGTGCACATCCCAGCGCTGCCACAACTATCTTGGGAGACCAGGTGCACATCCCAGCGCTGCCACAACTATCTTGGGAGACCTGGTGCACATCCCAGCGCTGCCACAACTATCTTGGGAGACCTGGTGCACATCCCAGCGCTGCCACAACTATCTTGGGAGACCTGGTGCACATCCCAGCGCAGCCACAACTATCTTGGGAGACCAGGTGCACATCCCAGCGCTGCCACAACTATCTTGGGAGACCTGGTGCACACATCCCAGCGGTGCCACAACTATCTTGGGAGACCTGGTGCACATCCCAGCGCTGCCACAACTATCTTGGGAGACCAGGTGCACATCCCAGCGGTGCCACAACTATCTTGGGAGACCTGGTGCACATCCCAGCGCTGCCACAACTATCTTGGGAGACCAGGTGCACATCCCAGCGCTGCCACAACTATCTTGGGAGACCTGGTGCACATCCCAGCGCTGCCACAACTATCTTGGGAGACCTGGTGCACATCCCAGCGCTGCCACAACTATCTTGGGAGACCTGGTGCACATCCCAGCGCTGCCACAACTATCTTGGGAGACCTGGTGCACATCCCAGCGCTGCCACAACTATCTTGGGAGACCTGGTGCACATCCCAGCGGTGCCACAACTAGCTTGGGAGACCAGGTGCACATCCCAGCGCAGCCACAACTATCTTGGGAGACCAGGTGCACATCCCAGCGCTGCCACAACCAGCTTGGGAGACCAGGTGCACATACCAGCGCTGCCACAACTATCTTGGGAGACCTGGTGCACATCCCAGCGCTGCCACAACTATCTTGCGAGACCTGGTGCACATCCCAGCGCTGCCACAACTATCTTGGGAGACCTGGTGCACATCCCAGCGCTGCCACAACTATCTTGGGAGACCAGGTGCACATCCCAGCGCTGCCACAACTATCTTGGGAGACCTGGTGCACATCCCAGCGCTGCCACAACTATCTTGGGAGACCTGGTGCACATCCCAGCGCTGCCACAACTATCTTGGGAGACCTGGTGCACATCCCAGCGCTGCCACAACTATCTTGGGAGACCAGGTGCACATCCCAGCGCTGCCACAACTATCTTGGGAGACCTGGTGCACATCCCAGCGCTGCCACAACTATCTTGGGAGACCTGGTGCACATCCCAGCGCTGCCACAACTATCTTGGGAGACCTGGTGCACATCCCAGCGCTGCCACAACTATCTTGGGAGACCTGGTGCACATCCCAGCGGTGCCATAACCAGCTTGGGAGACCTGGTGCACATCCCAGCGCTGCCACAACTATCTTGGGAGACCTGGTGCACATCCCAGCGCTGCCACAACTATCTTGGGAGACCTGGTGCACATCCCAGCGCTGCCACAACTATCTTGGGAGACCTGGTGCACATCCCAGCGGTGCCACAACCAGCTTGGGAGACCTGGTGCACACCCAGCGCTGCCACAACTATCTTGGGAGACCTGGTGCACATCCCAGCGGTGCCACAACTATCTTGGGAGACCTGGTGCACATCCCAGCGCTGCCACAACCAGCTTGGGAGACCTGGTGCACACCCAGCGCTGCCACAACTATCTTGGGAGACCTGGTGCACATCCCAGCGGTGCCACAACGCCACTAATCCAAAAATGGTAATGTACACCAGAAGTGTTACACAGCAGATTGCGGTGTGTGTGTGAGGAATTGATCTATTAACTGGCAGTAAGAGAGTAAACAAGCCGTCCTCTCTACCAGACCGTCTCATGTTGTACGTTAAGGGCCTCAACGCTCACACTACAAAATACTATGAAAAGTAGCAGCTAACAAATTTCTATGTTTTCTTTACGTCGGTAAGTTAGGATAGTTGAGTTGCTTGGGTCTGTGCGTTTATGGTTAACACTTGTGACAGGATGAACAACCCAGCGGGTTTTCTTCCTATTGGGGAGTGTTGTACATGCTGCTATGATGGTGTGTCCACTCAAGATGAGTGGCGCTGCCCAATACTGTCACTATGGCGGTGTGTCCACTCAGAAGATGAGTGGCGCTGCCCAATACTGTTACTATGGCGGTGTGTCCACTCACAAGATGAGTGGCGCTGCCCAATACTGTCACTATGGCGGTGTGTCCACTCACAAGATGAGTGGCGCTGCCCAATACTGTCACTATGGCGGTGTGTCCACTCACAAGATGAGTGGCGCTGCCCAATACTGTCACTATGGCGGTGTGTCCACTCACAAGATGAGTGGCGCTGCCCAATACTGTCACTATGGCGGTGTGTCCACTCACAAGATGAGTGGCGCTGCCCAATAAACTCGCCCCTCGGGGCAAAATTTAAATTTAAATTTAAACTTTGTATTTTGTACGTTGTGGCAAATCAGGATAATATCGGCTGAACAGAGCGTATTGAACACAGCTCATTCTACACGGCTGGCTAATGGGTTACAGAGTGGCTACTACTCTCCTTGTGAACCACACTTGGCCTCCTTACTTGTTTCATTATTCCAGAAACGAGTATTGGTTGGTGTGTGTGTGCGTGTATTCACCTAGTTGTGTTCACTTAGTTGTGCTTGCGGGGGTTGAGCTCTGCTCTTTCGGCCCCGCCTCTCAACTGTTAATCAATCAACAGTTACTAACTACTAGGTACCTATTTACTGCTAGGTAATAGGGGCATCACGATGAAAGAAACTCTGCCCATTGTTTCTCTCCTGCACCGGGAATTGAACTTGGGGCCCACAGGATTACGTGCACAGCGTGCTGTTTACACAGCCACCGGCGCCACTGTGTGTGATATATATATATATATATATATATATATATATATATATATATATATATATATATATATATATATATGTATATGTATATATATATATATATATATATATATATATATATATATATGTATATATATATATATATATATATATATATATATATATATATATATATGTATATATATATATATATATATATGGTATATATATATATATATATATATGTATATATATATATATATATATATGTATATATATATATATATATATGTCGTACCTAGTAGCCAGAACTCACTTCTCAGCCTACTATTCAAGGCCCGATTTGCCTAATAAGCCAAGTTTTCCTGAATTAATATATTTACTCAATTTTTTTTCTTATGAAATGATAAAGCAACCCTTTTCTCTATGTATGAGGTCAATGTTTTTTTATTGGAGTTAAAATTAACGAAGATATATGACCGAACCTAACCCACCCTACCTAACCTAACCTAACTTATATTTATAGGTAAGGTTAGGTTAGTAGCCAAAAAAAAGCTAGGTTAGGTTAGGTTAGGTAGGTTAGGTAGACGAAAAAACATTAATTCATGAAAACTTGGCTTATTAGGCAAATCGGGCCTTGAATAGTAGGCTGAGAAGTGCGTTCTGGCTATTAGGTACGACATATATATATATATATATATATATATATATATATATATATATATATATATATATATATATATATATATATATATATGCATGTCGATTGCTGTGTTGACACCAGCAATCAACAGCCAATTAATGCACAACTATATTCTACCCACTTGAAGACTCCGAACCACTATAGAAGCATCAAGAGGAAGTATGGGCCAATAGGCCCTCTGCAGTTACTTCCATTCTTTTGCTCTTATATCCAATTAATACCCATAGTTTCGTGTTCTGTCTTGTATTTGTATGTTGGGGATGCTAGGATGTTGGGGTAGGGCATGTTGGGCATGTTGGGCTAGGGCATGTCAGGGATGCTAGGGCCGCATGAGCATCAATATGCGGTCATAGCATGATGAAGTGATTTGATGAAATATCTGGAGTTAACAGTGAAACAGAACAACAAAATTATGTCGGAGAATTATAGAGGAGATTACGAAAATCGTATGAAACAAGATGCTGAAACAGAAACGCGTTTTTGGACTAATCTTAAAATCTATAGATTCTAAAAATTAAAGAGTACGCATTAATTAAGATCAACTCGATAGTTTCCAAACCCTTTGAGAAGGACACTTAAACAAGCCAAAGAGAATATAAGGTGAGCACAGGGGTACTCACTGGAGGTTATGGAGGCCTTGCGTAAAGTTCTCCACCAGGTTGGGCCTCATGTGAGCCCAGAGCTCCGGGTCGAGCTTGGACACGTAGTACTCGGCCGAGCTGGCCCTCACAGCCCCGACCCGCTGGGACAACACCTGAAGAGGAGAGAGGTATTACACAGGTGAGAGACAGTCTAGCTCATAGTACAGTATTACACAGGTGAGACAGCCTCATGGTACAGTATTACACAGGTGAGACAGCCTCATGGTACAGTATTACACAGGTGAGACAGTGTCATGGTACAGTATTTCACAGGTGAGACAGCCTCGTGGTACAGTATTACACAGGTGAGACAGCCTCGTGGTACAGTATTACACAGGTGAGACAGCCTCGTGGTACAGTATTACACAGGTGAGACAGCCTCGTGGCTCTCGTTTTACGAAGCCTCGTGGCTCTCGTTTTACGAGGCCTCGTTACCGAGGTCTCGTAAAACAAGTAAACATCATGCGAGACCCAACAAACAAGCTCGTAATGACTGTTGAGAGGTTCTTCGTCCTCTTTCGCTCTCTCTTAAAACCCAGCGTGGATGCCAAGACTGTAGCTTTTACTGTCAAAAATAAGATAGTGGGTAGTCTCTCCTCTCTTCAGCCTCCCCTCCCCCAGGTCTCCCCAGCTTCTTCTTTTTCCTTCTCTAACACCAGTCTCCTCTTCCCCTCCTCTCCCCACCCTCACTTTACATCCACATCTCCTCAGTCTTCCTCTATCCCTTCCTTTCCCCAGTTTCACTTTCTCCTCCACTTCTCCACAGCACAACTCACCCTATCGTCTCCCAATATTCCCTCCTCATCCAAGTCTCCCCTTTCTCATCTCCCCATTCTCTCCTCCGCTCCTCACCCAAGACCCCTTTCGCCCCCCCCCAACCTCCCGAATTACAACTGGTTATGACCGGGAAGTCGCACAACACCTTGGAACAATGAATGAATGAGAGAGAGAGAGAGAGAGAGAGAGAGAGAGAGAGAGAGAGAGAGAGAGAGAGAGAGAGAGAGAGAGAGACAGAGACAGAGAGAGAGACAGAGAGAGAGAGAGAGACAGAGACAGAGAGAGAGACAGAGAGAGAGACAGAGAGAGAGAGAGAGAGAGAGAGAGAGAGAGAGAGAGAGAGAGAGAGAGAGAGAGAGAGAGAGAGAGAGAGAGAGAGAGAGAGAGAGACAGAGACAGAGAGAGACAGAGAGAGACAGAGAGAGACAGAGAGAGATCTAGAGAGAGAGATAGAGAGAGAGATAGAGAGAGAGAGAGAGGAGAGAGAGAGAGAGAGAGAGAGAGAGACAGAGAGAGACAGAGAGAGACAGAGAGAGACAGAGAGAGACAGAGAGAGACAGATAAAAGAGAGAGAGAGAGAGAGAGAGAGAGAGAGAGAGAGAGAGAGAGAGAGAGAGAGAGAGGGAGAGAGAGAGAGGGGGGGGGAATGCGGAGAACCAAGTGATGTATAAGAGATCAAGAATAATATACACCACAGAGTGGGATTTTTTGTTGTCTCTTTAAACTGGTGGTAAGCCGTAGTGTAGTTACTGGTGAGAGCCTACACTTAGGGGCTACATGTGCTTGGTGGGTTGAGCCTCAGAGCCTAAGACCCTCACAAAGTGAAGAGATCATTTGGTGACGAGTTGTTCACAAAATGGAACAAAATAGATCGCCTATATATACATGGAAGTACTGGAGGGCCAGTGTCAAATTTGCACAGCAAAACAACAACATACTGGAGTGACAGATATGGAAGAAAATGCAGAATAGAGCCAGTGAAGAGTAGAAGTGCCACAGGTACAGTCAAAGAACACTATAAACAACAGAGGTCCACGGATGTTCAGCATTCTCCCAACAAATAAGAAATATTGCCGGAACAAAAGTGAAAGTTCCAAGAAAAAAAAATGGAGTTTTCTGCAAGAAGTGCCGGACCAACCGGGCAGTAGTGGATATGTTGGCAGCTCCAAGCAACAGTATGTTGTACCAAGCTCTCACAAGTAAAGCCTGGCCCCAGGCCGGGCTTGGGGAGCAGAATAACTCACAGAAGCCCATCCAGGTACAATCCAGATACACTCTAATAGAAACAATAATAAGATTATTTATAAAATTAATAATGATAATAAATGAAACGCTATACGTGTTAGTGGCTTTGGAAAAATGAAAAAATACCAATCTTATGTAAACTCCCAAACCCATTATACCTTCTTGTAAATAAAATTATTATTTTCGAAATAATAATAATAATAATAATAATAATACAAATAATAATAATAATTACGATCATCGTTACAACTGTCTTTAATAGTGATAAAGACACATTAAGACCAAAGAAGCACAAGAAGTACTACTGGCATACACTCCAACATCGGCCCAGCATCTATGTTACCCGAAGATAAGCACCTAGACATATGGCTGCCACGACCCACCCAAGACCGTGAGGCAGGGAGCCCAGGCGGCAGCAACAGTCATTAGGAGCCAGTCACGGCGCAGCCCTCACCTCTCCTCTTCTCGGGATGATAGAGGAAATTAATATGGGGAGGGGGGAGATTCTCGATAAAAGGGGGTTAAACTAGTAATCGGAATTGAGCAATTTGCTTCTCAAACTAGTTGGTATTATGGTGGAAGGAGTATTAGGGTAAGGGTGATGGTGGAATGCGTATTAGAATGAAGGTGAGGGGGTTTTGGTGGTGTGGGTGAGGGAGTCCCAGTTACCGAGAGACGGAGGAGTATCTCTGTTACACACCTACAAACATTTATACAAATCAGTATCATTTAAATGAATAAAAGTAGGAAAGTAGGAAAGTCTGGGGAAGGAGAATGTACGTTCCTGTGTGTTTATAACTCACACAGAACACTAACAACATTGTCAACCAATTAAAGTCATGCCCTAGAACATGGTGAATAATTACCCTATTAAGTATGAACCATTGTAGGTGTAAAGCATTCTGTTCTCCATGCACGAGACGGTTTAATAAACCTTTTATGATGGCAATAAATTTGTCTGGTTTTGGGCTCTTACGGGCAACATAAATCTTTGATATTTCATAATGGACCATTCACTGTACACGTTAAATACGGATATGTAGAGATGATTTAGTGAGGGGAAAATGAATGTTGTGAGTATATCAGTAAAAGGTTAAAGGCTACTGGAATATCATCGCGTGCACGCACACACACACTGTAACTTGCATACCATGCAAGCTGATAGAGAAGATTGTGCGAAAAAATCTAGTGGAACATCTGGAGCGAAAGAACTTTGTAACACAGCATCAGCATGGCTTCAGGGATGGCAAGTCCTGCCTCACAGGATTAATTGAATTCTACGACCAGGCAACACAGTTCAAGTATGGAAGAGAGGGGTGGGCAGACAGTATATTTTTGGATTGCCAGAAAGCCTTTGACACAGTACCACATAAGTGGCTAGTGCAAAAGCTGGAGATGCAGACAGGAGTGAAAGGGAAGGTACTCCATTGGATAAGAGAGTATCTAAGCAACAGAAGACAGCGAGTCACTGTGCGGGGTGAGGTCTCCTATTGGCGAGGTGTCACTAGTGGAGTCCCGCAGGGTTCAGTCCTTGGACCTATACTGTTTCTGATATATGTAAATCATCTACCAGAGGGTACAGAATCGAACATCAGTACACGGTGATCACTCATTTCCACGGGAGCTTCGAAACCGGTTTCCCTTATGTCTGAGTCGTTCAGAGTAAAGCTTAGGTCGAGTCTCGCTGGTTCATCGTTGCTATTTACAGTTGTCTTCAAAATCTCAAACCAACTGAATCCTATGCCTTTACTGGTGGTTCTGTGCAATTAGGCACTGGTAGAACAGGTTGTACATGTGCAGTATATAAAGGGAATGAAATGGTCATGTCTAGTACAGAGATTGAACGTTGAGATCAATTAACGTTACCTTATTGAGATCGAACGAGGTAAGGTAATTAGCTGATGTTAAGCCAGCGTGACTATATAACACTTGGACAAGGAACTGGGAATATGAAGACTGAGTAGGAATGAAATGATCCTTGAATCATTCCATTCCAAAGATCATTCGATCCTTGGAATGTTTCAAGGATTCCCGATTGTTAATAAAAAGATAGACAAGGAGTTAACTAACTGTCAGTACGAGATAAATCATCAAAAGATCAATAATTCACCAATATGAGGGTCAATGTGAACCCATGAACAGATGAGCAAGTGAACACATTATTCCCTCGGGGTCAACAGTAGACCAGTAGACCAGCAAGAGGTCAACAAGACGTCATGAAGAGACAAGCAATCTGAAGCAACACGCACCAGGCTGGTGCTTTAAAGGTGATGAATGTGACTGTACCCTGCGCTCTTCCCTTCCTTTCACCCCTTCCTCTCTCTTCTACCAGACTCTCACCCCTTCCTCTCTCTTCTACCAGACTCTCACCCCTTCCTCTCTCTTCTACCAGACTCTTACCCCTTCCTCTCTCTTCTACCAGACTCTCACCTCTTCTTCTCTCTTCTACCCGACTCTCACCCCTTCTTCTCTCTTCTACCCGACTCTCACCCCGTCCTCCTCCTTCCCCACCCACACTTCTACTCACTCCTTACCCCTCATTCACTCCTTGTCTCCCAACCTCGATAATTACCCTTTACTTCACTACATCTCCATCCTTAATCTTCTCCATCTCTTCTCTCTCCATGTCTCACCACTCTCTCTCCACTGTTACTCTCCATGTCTCACCACTCTCTTTCCACTGTTACTCTCCATGTCTCACCACTCACTCTCCATGTCTCACCACTCACTCTCCACTGTTACTCTCCATGTCTCACCACTCACTCTCCATGTCTCACCACTCACTCTCCACTGTTACTCTCCATGTCTCACCACTCACTCTCCATGTCTCACCACTCACTCTCCACTGTTACTCTCCATGTCTCACCACTCTCTCTCCACTGGTTCTCTCCATGTCTCACCACTCTCTCTCCACTGTTACTCTCCATGTCTCACCACTCTCTCTCCACTGTTACTCTCCATGTCTCACCACTCACTCTCCACTGTTACTCTCCATGTCTCACCACTCTCTCTCCACTGTTACTCTCCATGTCTCACCACTCTCTCTCCACTGTTACTCTCCATGTCTCACCACTCTCTCTCCACTGGTTCT